CCCCCCCCTTTCCCCCCCCCCCCTTTGGGTTTGGGGATGGTAAGCCCCCAAAAAAAAAATTACTTCTACCGTAGCTTTCCCCCCTCCCAAGGGAATTAACCCCAATTTCCCAAACCCCTTGAGCGGGTGCCCGTCCCCCTTTATTTGTATTCCCCAAATACCCCGGGGGGTTTCGCTTTTGGTGGTGGGAGACCCTTTTCCGTGGGGACCCCGCCTTTTTCCGCCCCGTTTTTTTGGGGGTGGGGGGCCATGGGTCAAAGGTTTCCGGCTTCCCCGTCTGGGGGTTCCCCCCCCCCCCCCCCCCCCATTCGGCGTCGTTTCTAAGCAGTGTTTGATGATAACCACGCGTCAAACAATGTTTTGGCTTTTCCTTCCAGGTGAAGAGGACGGCGCTGATGCTGGTGGCCTACAGGAGCAAGCCAGAGGAAACGAAGGCGATGCGGAGCGCGTTCAAGGCGTACGACGTGGACCAGAATGGTCGCGTCAGCCGAGCCGAGTTCCAGAAGGTTCTGAAGAAACAGGGCTACTCCGACGCAGAGGTTAGTTGTGCGACTCTTTCCGATTTTTCTGGCGGTTTGACTGCATCAAAGTCACGCACAGCTTTATTTCATCCGTTTCTTTACCGCTACGACCACCTACAGGTGATAAGACCCTCCTGCATATTTCTTACTTTCAGAAAATCATAACAATTGGCACATCAAGTCATATTTGAAGTATGTGATGCTTGGACCATAACAACAGTGACGCGCCGGAATGCACATGGCGCCCTTACCAGGTGCTCTTACCGGGCGCTCTCGTCTGCCTTGTTTGAAGATTACCGTAAGAGTCGGAGAGTTGGCACCGGGTGCGATCGTTTTTTTAAATGTATTTCCTCGGGTTTTTTATCGCACCCCGGTGCCATCTCTCCGACCCCGGTGCGGAAATGCAATTAAATTATTTCGTTTAGAATTTTCAAGGCACCCCGTTGCGATCTCTCCGACCGATGCGATCCCCGATGAAATGCACACAGGTGCTGTATGCACGCAACCCGGTGCCATCTCCCCGACCGTTGCCATAGTATTGATTGGTACCAGTGTAGATACGCACGCACGCACACGGTCTTCTGCACACACACGCATATCTGAGCCGGAAAAAAGGCGGCGAAATACAACATACCCCGAACAAAGCGGCGAAATAGCGCAAACAAAAAAAAGCTAGGCGATGCCAGTCCGTGCGAGCGCACACACACAGCCATTGATTGTGCCATGCCAGAGGGTGCAGGTACCTCTTCCTCACGATATCGTTTCCATCTGAGGTGGTACCAGTACACACGGTATCAATGTTTCCCGCTTTCGTTTCGGTCTCCTTCTACGGATACCAGTACGTACGCAGAGGTACAACAGTGTCGGGTTGTGTGAGGTGGAGTAGGGTGCTTGTTGTACGCTTGTGTGTTTGGTTGAGTGTACGGTTGGCAACTTCCATACCAATAAAAATATGAAAACAACTGGCATCCCGCGTGAACCGCGACCATCCAATCGTACGTAAAGGAGTGGCGCTCCGCTGACTCCGTCCCCACGTGTAAAAGGTACGCACATGTACCTCATTCCGGCAGCTGAAAAGGAGTTCAATCTTGGATTTGGGAGTCGGAGAGATCGCACCCAGAGATCGCACCGGGTGCGTTCTCACCGACCCCGGTGCGTAAATCGAATTAAATGTTTTATTCTCGGGGTTTTTATCGCACCCCGGTGCCATCTCTCCGACCGGTGCCATCTCTCCGGCCCGTGCCAACTCTCCGACTCTTACGGTACCCATGATGCGTGGGAAGGCAAGCTGATGCATGAAATCTTCGCGGTTGTTCACGGCCCAGCACATATTCTCAGGTAGCTTCGAAAGTCTCTTCTGACAAGTGAACACCTTTTTCCCTACGTATTTTCCCCGTCCGTTTCGTCGTGTGCTGTCGCTGTTGTTGCTGCTGCTGCTGCTGCTGCTTCTGCTGCTGCTGTTTCACCAGCTGGTCGGTCTTTTCGACGAAGTGGACGACGACCATGATGGGTTCCTGCATTACACCGAGTTCCTCGCGGCGACGCTGGAGACAGGCGGGAAGGAGATGACAGACGAGCGGCTCGCGGAGGCCTTCGATCTACTCGACATGGACGATTCTGGGTCCATTTCGAAGGAAAACTTGCTGGAGTTCCTGGGCAAAGACTCGAAGGTGCGCTCCAATAGTCCCACCCCCCGATCAAGGGTTACGGCTATGAGTAGACCCCCCCCCCCCCTCGGCCTTGTTTGCCATCGGGGTTTGGGTTTTCGTCGCTTGGCAACGACGTTGTAAAACAAGCCGCCGCCCCCGGTGTTTGCCATCGGGGTTGGGTTTTCGTCGCTTGGCAACGACGTTGTAAAACAAGCCCCCCCCCTCGGTGTTTGCCATCGGGATTGGGTTTTCGTCGCTTGGCAACGACGTTGTAAAACAAGCCAATTCACTTCGTGAACTCGGCAACCAGGTTGCCGGTTTTTTTTTTACCTCGTTTTTTTTTTTTTTTTGGCGGTAACCATAATGGTGGTCGAGTAGATCATGTTGTGCGGGGTCGAGAACCCTCACTCCGCGCAACGGGGGATGATCGCACCACGTTGTGTTAAAATGGTCAAGCCTTCCTCGAGGCAGTTACACAGTGCTTACAACTGTCTCTGGAAGTGAAAGCACCAGAAAATAAATTAAGTCATACGCAGCTGTCATCCGTACGCAAGGAAGTAAGCACAAGATGCCGAACACCCTTAGCAGGATGCAGCTCACCCTTCATGCGACTCGCCAAATACCTCACGGCGATTCGCGCTTGGTGATGTGAGAGCCTGGTCCGGTGAGAACCCGGCGTGCTCCGTCCCGGCTTTGTAGGGATGCGAAGTCAATGGTCAAACGAGTACGGCATGCACGACTATGAGTACCCCCCCCCCCCCCATCTAGGGTTTCACATTGGGTTTCGACCACGCTGAATGTTACGGTACCCATGTTGCGAGCATCGACTTGTGTCTCGTCGACACGGCGCCTGCCACTTTCTTTTTGTTCTCCAAACGAGTGACTCATTAGGCTGCTCTCTGCCCTTGAAGGCATCTTTTTCCTGATCTTGACGTCAAGCCCAAAGAAATGGCTTGTGAAGCCTCTATTTTCTTCAATTTCGATCTGTCTTATCCCGACCGTCGTATTGATTCCGAGTTCTCCTGGTCAATTTTTTTGCGTTCATCTGTTACTTTTGGCTACATGTTTCTGTGTGTTGGGTGTTTGCTTGTTACACCTGTTCCCGAATGCCTTGTCCCCATTTTCCTTCTGTTCTTCTGTACAAGTCACCTGCTGCCCGATTTCGCTAGGCCTTCAAGGAGATCACGGTAGGTATGCTTGGTGCTGTGATCCACCTCCTGACCCCTCGCTCTCGCTCATTTGATCTGTTGCTTGTTCGTCCTTGCTTTTGTCCCCCTCTCCTATCGTCTTTTCGTTTTCGTCGTCGTTGTTATTCTTGGTGCCTTGGGCTTGGCCGACCCGAACTATCGATCACGATCGGTCGACGAACGGGCAAAAGGGGTACGATGTGACGCAGCTGATCGCGGAGGCGGACGAGGATGGCACTGGTGCTATCAACCTTCATGAATTCTGCAACCACATGCGAAAGAGGTGCGGCAGAATGAAAAAACATATTGATATTGGCCGGGGCGGCTCGTCCTGGTGTTCCCTTCGCGCAGCAGAATTTCGCAAGTGCATTTGCTTGGCTCTGGTTTTAGCACAACCAAAAGTAGCCGTGAATGCTCTACACTGCCGTGTGCAGGGTAAGCTCTGGAAACGAAGCTGTGAGTGACTGATGGTGGCAGCAGCAGCTATCTCCCCCGGCAACACGGCCACACGTTTTCGAACCGCTGCGGTTTTGTGTAGTTTGACAGACGTACCCAACTTTCCTCACCCCCTTCGTGACTTCTCCCCGTGCACTCGACCAATCAGCGGAAGGTTTAGCATACCGGGTCTCGGGGCGACAAGCGGTAGCAGTGTCATCGGGCATCAGCTGGGCGGCGTCGGAGCACCTGGCGAGGAGAAGAACGATGGCTTGGCGGTATCCGTCATGGAGCAACAGGGGGAGACCGATTCTGCCGAGAAGGGACCCCCTACCCCGCCCCCACCTTACAGCTGCGTGGATGAAGGGGTGGTGCATGGACTCGCGCCCCCGTCCGCTCCGGCATGACGTCATCGAGCTGGTGATTTGCGGGAATTTGAAACGCGATTTGCGATGTTTGGTCTTGTTTCCCGTTGACTGCATTGACTCCACTTTCTGAAACCTAAATAGCCATGCTTGTTTTCTGTGTTCGGTGTTTAAAAACAGGTCGCAATGTGACGATAGACAACTTCCGCAGCGTTGGTTGAGGATACTGAGAGATGATTTGGGGGTGGAACTACGAAGTGTTTTCTTTCGAATGAATCGTGTATGCGTGATTTTGGTGTCAATTTGACACTCGGACATTTTGCGTCTGGTTTCAGCCGTATGCGTTATGTCGCACTTGCGTTTCCGACTAGACAGCCGTGTATTTTGGTATTGTACACGATTGTGTTTTGCGCGTAGTGTCATTTTACTATCGGTTCCGATCTTAAGTTGTTTTTCGAAAGACAAGTCTTTCCCATCCAGGTGTTCCATATTTCTTCGTCATCTTGTATTTCGCATTCCAGCAGGCACCTCGTGTTTCCACATGTGTGTTGTCATTTTTGTGCCACGCCCCTCAGGCAGAAATCGACCGCAAAATTTGGTGCTGACGGCGGTGTTGTACAAAATGTCCAGTGTTGTACAGAACATGTACTTTTCAGTCGCAGTAGCGTCGATGACGGCATTTTACCCAGTTAGAGTGTGTTGTGAAACAGACCCCTTCGGGCCGCGCTCGCACTACCCTCTGCGTTGAAATTCAGTTTCTTGTCGATGTATTGGTTGACTCCGTTGGCCAGGTTTGAAGCGATACCTAGATGTTGTAGATAGTGAAGATATATTGCATAGGTGCGGGGATACGTGTGTTGGCGGCACACACTCTTTGGCAACTCAGAGCCGCCCGCATGTTCAAACCTTTGTCTCATAGTAAAAGATGTTTACGCATGGCTGCCAAAATCGGCTACGGGGTAGGGGACGATATGTGTAGTGCTTCAACGTCGCCCCTGTTTGTGGACGAGCCCAAACGCCACGAACGAATACGTGAGACTTTCATGGTAAAATCACCGATCAGCGACCCGACCCCGGCAAACCAGTACATGGTTCGCAGATTTTTGGACGGTCGTTGCGTGTTGCGCACCCACGCTTCATTTCGGGCGCTGCCTTGTCTCAGATTTGTTGCATGTTGAAGTCTACGATAGAAGGTGTATTTGTTGGGCATGGACATGTTAACTGTTTTTGCTCTCCGCGGTGTTTTTGCTTGTTTCTTGTGTTGAAAGACGATGGGGCTCGGCTCCCCGCTTGCTTTTGTTTGAAGCCCACCTTGTGTTGAAGAAACTGTACGCGTGGCCGGTGGCCAAGACAAAAAATATTTTCGCGCTTCGGGAGGTGTCACGCTGTCCACGACGGGCGGGGGCACCCCGCACCCTTGTTCTTCTCTAGTCGTATTATTATTTTGGCATCGAATCTTGAGTGGGGGGTTTCCCGTGGCTTCTTGATGCTTCACTCATCACCCGTGGCCCACGGTAGAGGACAGCCATAGTTTTCCTGCATTCAGTCCGCTGCGGTGGGGCGCACCCGCGTGCCACCGGCCGCTACTGCTGTACTGCATGCGTGGTATGTTTCTCCGGTTCGAAAAATCAGCCGAAAACTAGTAGGCCTAGCTGCTGTAACGCATGCGCCTCGACAAAACCACAATAAATCACTCACGTCCCGGCGAACAAAAATGGAACGCCAAGCACGATAAGATTACATCAAACCAAGGTTGTGCAGGGAAAAAGCACGCACTCGTCGTGACTCCGGTTCTGCATCATCGAATCATGGGGGTCCTGGCGAAAACACCGTTCTTCTCCTGACGGTTTGCATCGTCAAACTACTGTAATACAATATATATTATCGCTGCCGGAGTACTTCATTGCTGGACTGATCGAGTGTCTTCAAAACAAACGACACACGACCGTTGGAACGCACCCACCCTGTTCTTCGACTCATATTTCAACACGACCTATGCCCAGAAAGACGCCTTGACTGAATCTCCACGCATCGGCTTCTGCTGCGGTTCCCCCTAATCCCCGAGACAATTTCATCTGACGCTCGAACTGTCTCGTACGAGGAGAACTGGAAATCATCTGGATTCAAACAATGCTGAAACCTTCCGCAGCAAGCAAGTGCTCCCGGCCCACCTACAACACTGCATCGAGGGAAAAGAAGAGTCAAAAGCACGTTTCACGTAAGTAGATCCACACTTGCTAAACCTTCAGCGACAAGTATATCATCCCGGCCCCACTAATGCAGCGGGAAAAAAAGAATCAAGAGCACTTTCACGCAAGAAGACCGACACCGTGCCGTATCGACAGGGGTGCCAAAAAAAGCTCCATGATCCGGATTACATATACCAACAACGTGAACACAAAAACACTAGCGAAAAGGCGTCAATCGCGATCTCATGGCCGACCTCTCCTCTGACACCACCACCACAACCACCATCACAAACACCTGCTGCCATCCAAATATAAACTGAAGTTTGCGCAACGCGGAAGGGCAAAAGCGCCCCTTTTTGTTGTTAATCAACAACAAATCGACCAAAGAGAGAATTTTTCGCACGCACAAAAACTCACCCAGCTCCACATACATGCAGAGACCTAAGTTCTTAGTAGCGCAGGTAGAGGGATACCATGCCGTATCGGCAGGGATACCAAAAACATATATTTCGAATATACCAACCGAAGCAACAAACAGCGGCGATAATCGCGATCTTAGGGTCTGACCTCCCCTCTCACACCACCACCACCATCATCATCATCATCACCACCACCATCACCATGAACAACGCTTGCCTCCAAAACGTAAACTGCAAATTGTGCCACTCGAAAGAGCAAAAGCGCCCACTTTACGACACACAACGCATCGAGGAAACAGAGCCAACAGGCGCGCACCCGCCAAAACGAAAACGAAAAACAATAAAAAAGCTGTCCAAAATACACAAGCTCATGCATACTTCGCAGAAATTTCTGATGGACCAGATACAACGTTAATTATAACTCTGGACAGTATGATTTGGCAGAGCCTGTAGGCCTGATTGAAAGCGAGCAAATGACGAGAACGCGTCTAACGACGAAGAACAAACCGCCTCTTCCCTATGCCACCACTACCGCGGACATCATCAGCTCTATCTCCCGGAACAGAAACCTCATAGAGCCTTTCATTCTTCCTCTATATAAAAACCCGTGCGCAAACAACAATCTACCCCCCTCTTACAAAAAAACGCGATAGGTAAGTCACTACAGTGAGGCCGCCGCGCTGCAACACACGCCACGACTATCAAAAGGCACACATCGCAGCCTGCAGCCGTGACAACACAAGAAGATCGCCCCCCCCCCCCAAAGTAAAAAAATACAATCTGGCAAACCACTTGGTGCCGGGCTAGCAATCACGGCCCCCACGTCCGGTTGCAACCACGTTCCCCGGGAGTTGGCAAGAGCCCAACGCAACCCCCCGTATATATGGGGGGGGGGGGGGAATACCGTTGAAGGGATCACAACCTCAACAGACGCTAGCAGGTGCGTCTGCGTGTGCTGACGGTTTGTCGGGGATATAGTCGGGGCTGACGAGGAGAGTTTTGGGACTCTCTTCCTCGCCTGTACCAATCTTGACGGCGATGCACCCGAGTCTGTTTGCGGACGTTTTACTCAGGTGCCAGTATGGCCTGTTAGGTATTACCCCGCTCCTGGAGCGCTCTCCAAGGGTGGCCGATGTGGATTCCATGAGCTTGTCGATCCTTGCCATGAGAAGTGTTCTCATGGATCTATTCTCCACGTCCATGGACAAGCGGTCCATTTTCCATGTCACCGAACCGTAGTCGCTCAAAATCGGGTGCAAGCGGAAATCTAACGCTGGCGCACTCAGAGCATCGGCCACACGCAGGAGCACTCGCATGGAGAGGTGGATGAACCACACGAAAAAGTAGAGCACAGGGATGGGCAAGGACACCAGGAACAGAGGCGTGAGCGGCAGCACCTGTAGCAGAAACTTCAGGATATCCCGCACGCTGAACTCTCCCTGCGCACTGTCCCTCGCATGCGAGACAACCTCGTTTGCCATGCGCCTCCACGTGAGCGACACCTTGTTGATGAGCATCAGAGTGGTGTCGAATGCCGACCGGCACACGAATGCCAACCCCACCGGTACCAGCCATATGAAACCCCAAGCGCCCAGGAGAGCCATTCCCGGATTCACCGCAGCAATAGATAGCCCCAGCACGATCAAGCAGATGACGGGAATGGTATAGCCGAGGCCCTCAATCTCGTATGATACACCGACATAGATCGTGACCGCAACAGCGCCTGACCACAAGACCCCGACGAGCAGCGTGAGGTACCACTTGGTGTCGAAGACATTGTCGTCCAAGTACTTCCTGGCCCATGGCCTCAGGCGGTCCTTCGGGCTGACTCGAGATAGATCCATGGGTTCCACCGCTTGCACCATGTTCACCACGAGAACGGCGACCATCGCGGCTTGAAACCCATTCAGAAGGATGCGGAATAACAGCGGCGTGTCGCCATCTGTCGTCGGAAACACCTGAGTCGTGCAACAGGAGGGATGAACCGACTTCTATGTCAAGCCCCAACTGTTTGTGAGAGCCACTGCAATACTCGACCGAAGATCAACCAAGGGAAAAAATTACCCGTGGCACAACAATCAACATACACGATATTTCGTGACGGAGAAAAAGAGGGAAGTATGTCACCGTGACACGACTCACCTCGAGGTAGACACCGAATGCCGCTAGCCCGATAGCGAGAAATCCCTGCCCAGACAATTGTCCCTGGTGGTGGCGGACTAGCCGGCACTGGGACACTCTGACTATCGGGTCCTTCATGCGAGCGCACAGGAGAATGTGCTTGAACACCCATGGCCAGGTGGCCTGGTGGAGCAAACGTACGACAGACGATCGGCGTGTGAGCACGCGTAACCGAAGGCACCTCGGAGGCCTACGTAAGCACGAGCACAATTGCAGGAATTGGAACGGCTTCAAGACCAAAAGCCGTGGACTCTCGAACAACACGTTGCAGGTCCCGTACCCCAGTAAATGCCACGCTCCACCGGAATGACCTGGCGCCGTCAGAAGTTGCGACCATGAGACCGCAGCCATGACTGACGCACGGTCGCAAACGCAAAAAAGCAAACACCTGACAAATCGCACGCAACGCGTACCTCTTGGTTCAAGCCGGCCACAACCGCCACCGCCAGCAACGTCAGCACGTTCACATGGTTCCTGGCTAACACGAAGAAGTAGTAGATGCTCGCGACGAGCGAAATGATTCCGATCGACGCATCGTGGAAACTGTAGTCGCTGATTAAGTTCTCGAGCGCATCCTGTTCCGCGGTCGACGTTTCGCCTAGTTCGACCCCCATCAACCCCCCCTTCCGTTCGGTCGTCACACGCTCCCTGAATGACGTCCTTTGGGATGAGCACGTCCCACGGGCGGCGATGGACAAGGGAGAGGCGGGGGGCAGAGCGTCGCGAGAAAGGACGACGAGACAACGGTACAAAAGTACGAAGATCTTAGCGCGAGTGGTACAAGCCTGACGAACAATTCGACGACCACAATCCCAGGCTATGTCGTACATCGTGCCACATGTGGATCTCGCAGGGGCCGCGTTACGCTCGAAGGAGACCCACGGGTGCAAGAATGTTATCGCTCCGACTCACACGCTCTTGTCGAAGAGCTTGCTGTCTTGGACAACTTCGCACACCAAATAGGCCTGTATGAGCCGGTCCATGGACGATTCGCCAGGGCACACGACCAGATTCCCTCCCCGGCGCATGTTCCTACCCCAGAAGAGGATTATCTCGGGGAGTTTTGGTGGTTTCTTCATCGCTTCCTCTTGCTTCTCTCTTTCGGATACCCTGAGCGCCGCCGCCGCAGCCTCTGGCGTCATGTCTTCGGTGGCAACGTCGCTTTCTTCGGCCTTACTCTCATCGTCATTTGTGGCTGTCAGTTCCGCTATGCCCAACCCGGACGGCGAAGCTCGCTTGAAAATTGCCGTCATCTGCCTCAGGGAGAAGTCGCCGTGGCCAATACGGGCGCTCCCTTTTACGATGGAGCGCTCACTTTCCTGTGACAACAAAAAGCCAAAGAGCAGTGGCGATGAACGATCTATGTCCATTCCAACAACATCGGAAGAAAATATCGATGTCGTCCATTCTCAACGAGTAAAACTGCTCCTGGCGTTTGTTGAATGTGGTGCAATTTTTCATCTCGGGATCTCGGGCATGGCCCTGGAACCACCGCCTACGCCCTAACCGAAAATCACGACCGTCCCCTCTTGTACGCGTTGTCGATCGAATGCAAGACCGCCCTTGCCGTTTCAACCAGATCGCTCGTCCTCTCACCGTGAAGGTGTCCACTTCGACCACGCGCACGTGGGCCTCTGGCGGGTTCAAAATAGATATCGCTTCGTCGAGAAGCTTAAGGTCTCGTTCTTCAAGGTGCGGCATTCCCACCGGCTTGCCGAGCTTTTCCCACAGATTCTCTCCCAGATCGATGTGTCCTTCGTACACGATTTGCTCAACCGTGAAATGCTGCAGGCGAATTGGTTGTTTGCGTGTTTGCGCCAACGAAGGGTCAGGGGGTGTCTGCAGGTCAAAGCTACGATGAAGATACGCGAGCGGGCGGAGATGTTTCAGTTCTCACGTCTGCGTGTCTTGTGGTGAGGCATGGGACAACGCATCCTCGCTTAGGCGCGCGTTCTAAGGCATGGGATAAAACGCCACGACACTGCCTTCTTTTTGCGGCGATGGGTAGTCAAAAGCTCTCTCTGGCATACGTTTTGGACTGGTCACAGATGGATAGAGCATCGCATCAAAGAAGCTGTAGTGGTAGATTATAGGACCCAGGGTTTCAGTTGACGTTGTGTGGCTAATGTAGGCTCAAAAGGGGACCACGGGCTTTCGTTCTGCGATACACACAATTGAGGGCACGGGACAACTTTTTGGTGATAAGACGGCTGTGTGTTGCTTAACCCCCTTACCACGCACAGAAAATTCGGCGTTCTTGCGAAATTTCTGAAATGTAAGAAAAAGAGCGAACGACGCCTGCTGATTGGATGGTTCAGACAGTTCCATCCCTGGGTGCAAGTGCAAAGCTGCCTTCCCACTTGAGCCGTCTCTTGTCTATAATCCCTATCAAATGTCCCCTCGATACGAGGGGACACGAGGGGACAATTGATAGGGATTAAAGACAGCAACTGGCGGGAGCGTGGTAAACGGGGCACGAAAAGGAGGTTTTCAAGATATTTCTCTAGAGGGAAAGCGAGACCTTCTAACTCAAACCCTAGGTTGCTCGGTGCCTTCTATCAACGGTGGGCTAGGTACTTCTTCCGCGCTTGCCCCTAGTAGCGCTTTCCACCCAAGGGTAGACAGACGCGGCGCAACTTCGCCGTTGAACCCGCGGCGCAATCGCCCCGCAATTTGACCTGTTCATTACCCTCATACTCCTCCACTCTACAAAGCATTCATACTAGACTAGAGTCGTCCCTGTGTACCCCGGCACCCCCCTGGTCGAGTAGTGCAAAGGAGGAGACAAGCATGCCATTCTTCGCGAGGTAGAGCAGGTGAAGAAGATGGGGACAAAAAGTGTCCCCAAAAGGCGATCCAGCCCTAAAGCGGTTAAGGTAAGTCACTGGTGACATGGGATACGAACATCCCCCAAAATCGCCCCAATTCCAACCAGGAAGATATCTGGCGTAGGTATGTTTCCGCCACATTCATGAGTCTGACGCCGAATATAGCTTCTTTTGCCCGACTCGGAATTTGGGAGTGGGAATTTGGCCAAATTCTGCATGCGCTACAGCAGACACATATCAACAAATATCTAAATCGTTAGGTGCGTCGTTTTTTCTATACCAAATAGTCGGAGATATGGCACCGGGTGCGATCGTTTTTTTAAATGTTTTCTTCTCGGGTTTTTTATCGCTTCCCCGTGCCATCTCTCCGACCCCGCGGCGGAAATACAATTGAATCATTTCGTTTCGCTTTTTCAAGGCACCCCCGGTGCGATCTCTCCGACCGGTGCGATCCCCGATGAATACACACAGGTGTTGTATGACGCACCCCGGTGCCATCTCCCCGACCGGTACCATAGTATTTATACCAGTGTAGGCAAACGGAGTTATGACACATCGCTAGTTGACAATGCTATTGATCAGTATAGAACCACACGCGTAGGTACCGTTGATGCTGGTTGGAAGCACACCGGTAAACGGCAACGTTGTACGTACTTGTAACAGCTTTCCATGCAGCGAGTGGTCTTGTGTTTGATGCGAGGTTGGCTATAGCGTGACAAGGACAACAAACGATGTCGTTTCCATTTGAGATACTGGTACATACGGTATCAGTTGTCTCCCGCTTTCGTTTCGGTCTTCCTCTACGGATATCAGCACGTACGCAGCAGTACGATAGTTTCGTGTTTGTGCAAGGTGGGGTAGGGTGCGGCTTGTACGCTTGTGTGTTTGGTCGAGTGTACGGTTGGCGACTTCCATACCAATAAAAAAATGATAACAACTGGCATCCCTCGTGAACCGCAACCATGCATACGTACATATGGTACAGGACAAGAGTGGCGCTCCGCTGACACCGTACGTATGCACATGTATGTACCTCATTCCGGCGGCTCAATCTTGGATTAGGGGTTGTAGAGATCGCATCGGGTGCGATCTCACCGACCCCGGTGCGAAAATCGAATTAAATCATGCCGTTCTTGCACTTTTTTGCGCACCCCGGTGCCATCTCCCCGACCGGTGCCATCTCTCCGACTATCACGGTACCTTTCCCATACTGAGGGCGGGTCTGGTCGCAAGAATAATCCAAATCGAAGATCGAATTCGATTTCGGTGTTAGATTTCGAGTTGGCTTTTCTCAAACTCCCACGGGGTTGCATCGAAATCGAAAACGGAAAATAGTCCTGAAGAAACGATGAAGGCCCGAAAGTGGCCGTTGCAATGATTCACACCATGACCCATGAGAGCCAAAGGGCACCCCAGGAGTGGTAGGGCCAGTGTGGTAATTATAGTGCCACTCCTATACCAATATTTCAACATTTGGCGTGTCCGTTATCCCCTGGGACATTTTTTCTAAGGGCGCAGCCCCACAGGGATGCGAATGCTTCTGTAGCTGTTTCTCTCCTGCTCAGTAGATACACTGCGCTGCTCCGCCGACTGCTGGCGACTGAGAAGAAGAACAGGAGCGGGTGTCCCTCTCTCTCTCTCTCTCTCTCCGTGAAACCGACAAGACGAGCGAGAGTGTTCGCGTGCGTTGTGATGCAAAGTTCCAACTATGTCGCGAAATTCAGACAGACGGAAGTTGTGCTTCTAGTACTACTTTCATCACAATGATCCACCGAAACGAAAGCGGGAGATAACTGATACCGTATGTAACGGTACCTCAGATGGAAAACGACATCGTTTGTTGCCGCCACGCCATAGCCCAACATGCATTAAACACAAGACCACGCGCTGCATGGAAATCTGTTCGCCGCTCTGGCGGCTTTCGCCACCCGCTCAATAGATCGATTCAAAGAAACGCGATCAGTGATACTCAAACATTCGTGGCAGTTAACAATTTGTTGAATATGATATTAATAATGGATCGGTCCAGAAAGAGAGAGGGCGCATACTCACTCGATCATACAGCAAGGAGTAGTCTATCCGACAAAACATCAAAATGAAACAGATGAACATCGAGTGGTCGTGCTGGCGGCTTTCGCCGCTCCGCTTAATAGACCTTGACCTCACCGCAGAAGTGTTCCCTGTTCACGTCGTTATGTCTTGACATACACCGCATTCCCAGGGAACACGGAACATTTCAACGCGCGCGTGCAACCGGCCGGCACTCAAAGGCAATAACTACGACCATTGGATACAGAAAGACGAGTGGGGGGTAGAGGTGGTGTAGGTTTTGAAGGAAGCTGTTGTCGAGCGCACATCAAACACATGTGCTGCGTATCGGATAGAACAGGCGGTGCGCGTCATGCAATCCGCACCCTCGACAGTGCTCTCGAAGGCTTGCTTTTTGATGGTCCACGGCGGCGTGCCATTTCTTTGACACTCTATGTTCCCGCATACAACGGTACACGAGCATCCGCCGCCGTTATTTTGCATGCGAGACACCTGATGATGGTGGCAATGCCTATACGGCTGGAACTGGTAGCATGCATCACCTGCGGCAGCCACATGCCCGAGAGTGATCACACACATCCCACCACGTCCTGAATTGCAACCGAGCCCGTGTTCCACGTTCCCTATGGTCTGTTGGAAAATTTAAAGTCCCTTGAGAGATAAAGTTATGGTGGGGTGTAACTTCCTGAAACAGGGAACGTGTGTAGCATTTCTTTTTTCCAGGACAGTTATTTTATGTGGCTGGCCAATCAGACAATAATTCCGAGTTCCCTGCTCCCTGTTCCCTGTCCAGAACAGTGCAGTTAAGACACGCCCTGACAACAGAATGAAGCGGAACGATGGAATGGAAAATATCAGAACTGTTCCCGGATAAGAGATAGAAATAAATAAATGCAGAATGCGACATGTGAGAGCCCTACATGTGAGAGCCGAGAGACAGGCCGGTGTATGAGAGGAGAGAGAGGGCGACTGGCATACAATGTGATGTGTGAATGGATGGGGAGTAGAGGAAAGATGTGAAAAATTCCGAGAGCGAGTGACGCAGAGTGAGAAGATATACACACGGAGGGAGAGCGGAGAAGAAATGACAACAAAGCGACCCACGGAATGTCAAAATGTTCAACGTACGGATAACCCGTATGAGGGCCCCGACATGTGAGAACCGAGAGACAGACTGGTGTGTGAGAGCAGAGAGAGAGAGAGAGAGAGAGAGAGAGAGAGAGAGAGAGAGAGAGAGAGAGAGAGAGAGAGAGAGAGAGCGAGAGAGAGGAGAGAGAGAGAGAGAGAGAGAGACGGGAATAGAATGCGACGCGCCATGGATGGAGAGCAGAGGAAAGAGGCGAACGTCTCCGCGAGCGACGGAGCCACACGCCGGCGGGGCAGACGCAGAGCGAGAAGACATAAACACAAACATGAAGAGAGGGAATGGTAAAGAAGCGCCCGAAAGATGCCGGAGATCCCGGAGACGGAAAAATGCTGCTCTGTGAGCGGCCGAGAGAGACTGAAACGGAGCGCTCTGAGAGCCCGAGATAAATTTCTCCTGAACACTCGCGGAATCTTCAATGTGATGGTAGTGTTGCGATATTTCGCCGCCTTTTCCCGGCTCCTACACTCTGGTATCAGTACTACTCTGGTATCAGTACTATGGTACCCGTCGGGGAAGTGGCACCAGGGTGCGTCCATGCAACACCTGTGTGTGTTTCATCGGGGATCGCACCGGTCGGAGAGATGCACGGGGGTGCCTCGAAAAAACAAAATGAAATGATTTTACTACATTCCCGCACCGGGGTCTCTCCGAATATTCGGCGCATTGATGTACTCATCAGTACATGATGTAGGACGCAGCGCGTCTCTCGGCCACGTTAGGGCTGGGGTGCTGGGGTACATGGTTGGAGCTACGTTCACACATATTGTTCGGAATCGATCCACAAGCACTGCCGTACGAGTCGGCGGCTTCCCTCCGCTTCCGCATGCTCAAAAATGAGCGGCGACAGAGCTCGACGCGAGGTGACAGTTTGCGGCTCGAGCGGTTCGCAATACGACCGGGTGCGCGAGAGAGGTTGACCGAGAGGTCGAGAGCGCAACTAAATAACATGCACCCAACATACGCTCACCATACTAATACCACTTCCCGTTTGTGAGGCGTAGTAGTAGTGGACATGGGAATAGCCCAAATACATGCAGCGCGATACAGCGCTAATCGGTTGGTTGGTTGTGGACAGGCAACGAACATCGCTTCGTTCACACCTCCAGGCCTGACAAAAGCCACAAAAAGCTTCCGGTGGCATCAACACATACAAAACCGGAACTGTCCGCTCCGCTTGTGCAACCAGCAGCTGCACCCTCCGCAAGAAGTGTGGATGCAGACGATTGTCTTCAGTCGGTTCGACCAACAGCCACCCTAACATACGATTCAAATGTTCTGTAATCATAAAAGTGGTACCAGCATGGTGCAAGGTCTACGAGGGGGGCGAAGCAGGGCAAAAGGCAGCACTCTTCTACATACCTTGTGCTGGGACATGATGAGTTCACCCGAAGTCCACAGCAGTCACGATTGGTGCAGCCACGACAGCAGTAGTGACAGGAAGGCTGCAACTTGATGTCAAGCTCCTCCAACCCGTCCTTGCCTCTTCTTTTGTCAAGTCTATCGATAGTCACTCAGCTGCTCCGGGTGTAATGAATGGCGTTTGCAGTCCACCTTGTTGCAGTTGAACGGACACCCGCCGCGGTTGGACTTGGATGTATAAGAGTAAGGTGGAAGAGAGACCGCACCAGTCGTGTCGAGAAAAAGCAGCGTGAAGATGTGGGGGTGTCAAGCACTAGACCGTGGGCATGTGTTTCAAGTCCCCACACGAAGGGAAATGTGCAAATCATCGAGGAATCCGAAGACTTACGGATTCGAAGACTCCAGGAATTCGAAGAGTCAACACCAACAATACGACCCGTTAACGACAACGGAATACTTTCGCACCCTCGATGGAATGATACCTGCCTTCTTCTCGGTTCGAAGGATACTCGAGCAAAGCAAAGATCAAGAGCTACGTAGTAGATGCAAAGTTTAAGAATCGTCTCAGCATTCAGATGCCTGACTACTGCTAACCCTCCACGCCCTCAGCGTGTATGTGGCATCCTTGATGACTTGTGTCGCGCGATCTGAGAAAACTGCTACACGAGGAATGAATGTGTGCAACCGACGAGGAAGGGGAGAAACGCAAAACGAGCGCCAAAAACCAGCAGTTCCGGATTGGCATCGTACCATAGACCTTGCTCAGAACTCACAACCGCGTCCCCACTTCTCGCGACCATCGTGCAATCTAATGTGGAACCATGTACCCACGTTAAGCTCTCACCTGACCGTCTCGCTGAAGCAGTTGACAAAGGACTGCCACGCAGCAGTTTGGCCGTGTCTGCCGCGCTGCTGCTGCAACCATGATGCGGCCTGATTCTGTTTTTTCGCACGCTCCCCCCCGTCATCGGAGCTTGGTTGTGGGGCCCCCTCGCTCTCTGTCTTGCTCTGTCTCTGCAACTCGCACGTGTGGTCGTACAGTATATATACACCACAGCGTAGCGTTGTTGCTGCGTAATCTCATTGACACGCATACCAGTTACAGCAGTGCTACAACTCGCCCGCGTAATAGGGTGCTGTCGTAACAAAATCGAGAACAATACAACAAGACCGCATAACTAAGTACATGTTCACATGTTGTGTGCAACGCCTGTGTGTGTAACCGCTTCTTCTACAGCAGTACATGCACTTCCTGACATCAATTGAAGGCGAGGGCGCAGCTCCACGCACGATCTATACGCCCATAGCACAACAAGGGTATTCTCTGCGCCAGAGGATACTAGGAAAACCGGGAGTGCATCGATGTGTCGGATGTCGTCTGTCTGGGAGAAGTGAGATAGATGTGGACAACTGATGGGGCCAGGTGTTCCGTGCACTGGCTTTCTTTCTTTTCTCGCGGTAGAGACGACGAACTGCTCGATTCCTTCAGAGAGACGGCGAACAGCTCGATTCCTTCGTTCGGGCTTCGGGGAACGCTGTTGCGAGTACAGTACACGAAAGGAGACGGTTTCTACCGTTGTCGTTCTTGCTTGGACCGCGCACCCATACGACATACGAGAAATACGTGTAGTTTTCGCTGCGGCGGCGAGAGACTCTTCTTCTTCCACAAAAGGAAGACGAACAAAGAGCGGTATGCAGCCGACTTGATGCAGCGACAGATATCCGTACCCCGCTCTAAAGCTGGTCATATCTGGCGAGGTAGCTCACGCGAACGCGTGGACTGACTGCCCTGGTGGGCCGGCACCCTGCGGACCCATATCTGCAGCTACACAGCAGTACCCTGCAGAAGATGGTTCCACAACAACAGCAACAGCACGCCGCTTGGTACGACAGGAAGAATTCTGGCACAACCTCATTAATTATTACATTATTACCAAGGTGGGAGGGCCGTGCGGATACTCGTTTGAGCACTGGAGAGTGTGTGGGGGGGTACACTTCCTTCGTGAAGCCTTTTTTTTTCTATTTTCCGCACTGACTGTTGTCAGGGAAGGTTGGCCTCTCCGTGGTGTGGTGTGGTTCTTTTTGTAGGAGAGCCGGGAGAGCGGAACCAAGTACTTCGTACATTTGCATACTTGGATACTTTGAACTTTGAAGCAATTAGTACGAAATTGCCAGCCGAAGTCTCGCCGCACCGATGTTCTACACGCAAGCGTCGTCTCGTTATCCATACTATTGTTTCTTCGCTCTTCTGGGCAACTCCTCTTCATTTGGACAGCATACGTCCGAACGCAACCCGTAACGTCTGCGTATGGACGTACGGCGTATGTATGTGTCTGTCCTATTGACTGCTGTGGCTCGCGCGTCGGGGTTCTTATCATCAAGGGACCGACCCGGGGCGAGCGCCGGTTTGCCCCGTGATGAAATTACATCAGTGTTGAGCATTGCAGCCGAGAACAACAGAGATGGTGCTCTATGTAGCTAGCATGGTTAGCCCCACGGTCAACTCAAAGGTTCTGCCGATGCCCTGGGCCGTTTCGTTTGGATTATTACCTTTGCTTCCCGACAAACTGTACGTAGGTTTTGGTGGCGACCATCTACCTCCTGTAATAACAACCGCCAAAAGGCGCCATACGAGAAAACCATTTCCCATTCTCCTACCCGCCACTGTTGGAGTTTTCCGACTCTTAAAAGCGCTACGAACTTCTCCCAGAACGTTCACGGCTAGCTGGTTACATTGCTTCATACTGTTCGCACGTGCTTTGTGTATCAAGACTTGTATCTCATGATTTGAACAACACGTAGTGCGTCCAGAGGTTGCGCATGTTGCAATGTTTATACATGAAACCACCCTGCTCGATGATGAAACATTGAAGAGTCTTGCGGTTTGGCAGCATTCCAACACCCCCCCCACTTTTAGACCTTCGTGTTTTCGAACTGGAAACATAACGGGGGGGGAGAAGGGGGGCGAAGTCAAGACCTGTTTCAGCCCCAAACGCTTGAAATTGTTCATAGTCGTCAATACCTAGTCGTCTTCCACAAAAACCCAAGCAAATTGGAAGAATCACACCCCGAGAGCCAGCCAGAACTCCCATCAATCTCTCACAAAAACAATCCTCGCTGCACGTGTTTTCCAACGTTCTTGCGTGAAGTGCTTTGTTCTGCTGAGGAACAACGTTTGGGTGAAGATTCAACAGGCCATGATGCACGCCAGCATTGGCACAACATGCGGCTTCCTGTTGGCGATGTCCTCGGGCGCTCGGGGGCAATCAGATTGGTCCCTCGTTGCGCCCAGGTCAAACACGTTGCCGAAGGGGGAGCCGCCTGCTTCTTTCGACCGCAGAGAGAACATCATCTCGCCCTTGGGCGTGTCGAGCAGCCTTGACGCTCGGCCGGCTTTGTTGCACACCAACAAGTTCTACGCAAACCTTTTGGTGAGTTCTCTGTTTCTAGGCAGTGCGCTGAGATTTATTTCCACCGGTATCGTTTGTGGGCGAGAAACGCAACGAGGTAGTGAGTCGGAGCTATTTTCTTTAAAGAAAACGGGTGTCCAGTTGGCTGTTGCCCGCGTGCCTCAAACCGAAGTTCAGCCATCTCCTACTTTGTCAAGGTTTCCACAAACTGCGCCGCTGATCCACGCAGATTCAGCGCATTTAGTGCGGAGGTGCAGACAGTCTTCCTGGCGCGCATCCCCGCCAATGCCTGAAGTGCCCCACGCTATTCCCTACAACAATTGAGTCCCTCAATGGTGGCACAAGCACGCATCAACAAAATCTGCCGCTGGCGACAACAATCTAACCCACGATGGCAAGGTACCGTAAGGATGCGGGTCTTGGCACGGATCGGCTACATGGCACAGGCCGGGGTCTTGGCACGGGGGGTGCGGAAAAAAATCGGGTTCAAAGGGACTTAATTGATTATCGCACAGGTATCGTTCACTTCGCACAGGGGTGCGCGGAGACCCCGATACGATCGACCCCGATACCTTCGGCGAGGTTGGGTGAAACCATGGTACCCAGCTGTTTTTGTCGCGGGCCACTAGTGTACCAAGGTACATACATAGCTTGTATCATGGGCTCCACCGCTGTACTTTGGCATTGTAACGTTGCTCATGTGCAAGTGATGTTGTTCAACATTGTCGTTTTTGTCGGAATCGGCCAACGGTTTCTACTCAATCAACCAAGAACGCATACAAACCACACGAGACCAAACGACCACAATCAACTACGGTACTACGAAAATTACAGGTAGGATACCGGGAAACAATATGATTATATGGCCAAGGACTGGCAGCCAAAATGGTACATCCCCCGTAGGCCACTGTGTCCTTCTTCGTTCATGGCACCGAACCAAACCTCTCCTCCACTGGCCAATACCCCGCTGCATTTAAAACGTTCTAGCGCCAACCCGCTACCAACTGGTCCACATCAAATCTCAACCGGCAAACACGAAGCTTGATAGTTCACAGCTCGGGCCCGTCTCCTTCGGCATCCCCATTCCACGGCCCGTCTACGACTTCTACATCACTGTCGTCTCCCAAGATCTCTACATCGCTGTCGCTGTCATAGTCGGTCCCTGACCCGCAGAGGAAGAACTGCCAGCACCAGCCTGTGAGGCGGCGGTAGACTCCGCGCTTGCACCCCCTGACATCGTAGCCAGCGTGTTGCTTGTGTGTGGTGTGTGTGTGAGCACACACCTCTGTGTCGGGGAATTTCAAGGTAATTCGCCGCCTCGCCGCCTCGGATTTTAATTTCGCCGCATGTGTTTTGTGTATGCTGGGGTGCTGGGGTGCTGGGGTGTCTGTGTGTGTTCGTTATGTTGTGATCCTGATGCTGCAATACCTGCACACGCACACAAAGTGCTGGTGTATGTCTGCTGTGATTTGTTCAGGATCGCACACACCGGAGTCTTGGCACGGGGGTGTGCGTTCAAAACACCCCACATCGCCGCTTTGTATTTATTCAGAATCGCACGGATCAGAGTCAACGCACGGGGGTGCGCGTTATATTTTCAGGACCAAACATTTAATTCATGTTCCGCACAGGTATCGGGTACATGGCACGTATCGGCGTATTGGCACCCCTGTGCCATGGAAAAACCGGAAATGAAAACATTTAAAAGAATGACCGCACAGTGTGCGAAGACCCGCATCCTTACGGTATCTTCCCGATGTTTCCAACGTCCAGGCAATCTATGCTTCATCATTTAAACGGACACTGACCGCGGCCAGTATTGCGTCAATTCTCGACTTCCTCTACATTCCTTGTCTCGTGAGTGTCACAACACATGAAGTCACGTGGCCATCACACTTGCATGGGAAGCAAGCAACAACAGGCACCCTCTCCCCCCCGTTTTCGCTCTACTCGACCCGCTTTCCAACTATGTAGCTTGACAGCTCGTCACGAGCGGCGTGGGCACTGCCGTACATATTGACCATTAATGAAGAGTACCCCTTTGGGCTGTACGTGAGTTATCCGAGGTTCTTCGAAGGGGAAAGGCAAGATGATCGGCTTAAGTGGTACGCAACCACAACGGGCAAGGATATCATCTTGAGTGCCCAGGTATGTGCCTGCTTTTATTTAGGGTGGTCGTAGTTTTCTTGGGTTTTTGTCTCGACGAGGACTCCAGAGCTCCTTGAATTATTCATTGAAAAAGCTAACCCTAGAGATCTCGGTTTTTCGACGCCACATCCTTGAGGGCTTGAGGATTGATAGGCTGAGTCCCTAAGTACACCGATGTTTGCCTGCTGGAAAAAACGCGCTGTACACAGCCCATGGGCGTACTCTCAACAGTACATAGTTCGTGCCCATGAGGCGTTCCAAGGATTTCCTCGCCGATGTGAAAAGCTTTCTACGATTACGTGCGAGCGATGGGGCGTGACAGAGAATTGGAACGAGCAGGGGGCAGCAATTGGTTCGAACCAGCTGATCCCTGTCACCCAGGTTGCTCTGTGTTGCTTGATTTGTACAGCCCAGCCCACCTTCATCCAACGTCACTGAAATTAAGCTGCTCGATATCACTCATGCACTTGTTGCTGGCCAATCTGTCGACTTTTTCTTTCGACGCAGGAGCTGCGCACGAACCAAGAAGCGGAATTGACGGACTTCGATGACGAAGGGTTCTCCGCTACGGTCAAATTTTCCTCCCAAGACACAGCGGGCGGAAGTATGACCACGTACATCGTTCGCGGAATGGTGAGCAAGTGTGATCTGAGGTGTCTGCCGTGTACGATCGTTCTACTTACTTCTGCGATGGGGTTTGTTTGTCCATTTCCAATCCGGGACCGTTGCTCTGCAATGTATGCAGAAGTCTACAATGTATTTTCTCTTTTCTTGCTGGTGTACAGCCCCGATCCAGAGTCGTACAGAAGGATTCCTGCCCCTCTGACCCCCATCGTGTCGGCGATGCCCTTCAGCTATCCCGACGACAGAGCCGGAATTGTTTACCCTCCGAAGTACTCGCGAGCTACTGTTGATCGAGCGCCTTATGCGGAATGACATAGGTCAGAAACATACTCGAGCACTCGGTCAATCCTATGACTTAGTGAACCATCCAGAGCGTCCAGATGGCATTTGCATTACGAAAAATGACCGTTTTTCTGAAACCATTTTTCGACTCTTCAATGGGGTTTTCTTAGTCAGGATGGCCGCCGATCGCAAAGAGACTGCTCTTGTAATTTGATAGTCAACTACACTCTGACACATATACATTGTAAATTAGTACGCGACTGGCGGCTTGCCCTTTCGCAGGACGTATGGTTGTCCCAGTTGACATACCGTGATTTTAACTGGTCGATAGACCTTGGCACCCCCAAAGTGGTTCTGTCGTTCGAACACTTCCAGGCACGATGACAGTAGTCATGAGGGGCTGTGAGAGAAGCTTTGTCTCCACAGAAAAGCGCGGAAAAGGTAGTTTATTCACACCCACTTTTTCCCACCTGGTTGAATGGTGGCGCACCCGCTAAACGAAGGAAAGGGCTGCCGCTCCCTCTTGCCTGACTCGACCCAGTGTTAGTTCAATGTTGCGTTGTTGGGAGGTTGATTGCCAGTGGAATCGGGGCATTGGCTAATACCTTCGATAATGGGATCTCGCTACCCAACCCTCCGTTGCGAACACGCCACCATTCGGAGTACAGAAAAACAGAATGCAACACCCCACTACGAATTGAAGTACTTGAAACTTGGTCCTTTCGCTCAGTCAAAACTGACCCTGGGAGAAATTCACACTGTCGTGGGGCCGTAAAGTGCTCGAGACTTTGCCTCAAGTGTTCCGAGACTATTGCGCTCTCTTCGGCCTTCAATCGTCCTGGCGCCTTAAAGTGGGTTTCCGCGGTACTATAGACGTTTCTGCTTATTTACGCTTTAACAGGGCTGCAGCAAACAGGGCTGCAGTTAGCCTCCGTATGCAACCAACCTCCTCCCCCGGTGCGCTTCCTCCCTCTTGATCTGATTCGCAGGCTTACGCGACGGTCCTGTATGAAGACTTTACCCCAGAGATGGCGACGCAACATGCCATCCTCCGAGTCAACGGCAACGTGAGACCTGCTCGTGTTCTCCGCCTTCGCGTGTAGTGCCGTGCGTGGTCTGAAACCGCGTTGATGCTTACGCGCGCTGGTTCAACCAACGGCACACAACCAAAACACAGCTATATATACACAGCTCTGCTTCGGACTTACTCGTTCATGTCGTTTGCAATTCAATCAGGCTGCTGCGGGGGGCGTGCATACTAACAGCCGTGGGCGTTTCATGTTGGAGCTCAACGATGGCAGCACGTGGATTGTCTACTCCAGCAACAGGGAGCTGGAGCTCTCTTATGTTCCTGCTACGTCCGACACGCCCAGCTCGTGAGAAATAGCCTGTCTCATACCGTGTATGTTTATTTTCTACAGGCAATCCAATGCATTGATCATTTTTTTTGTCTCAGTGCTTATGAAATTACGGTGGAGCTTGATTTCAAGAAACAAGAAATATTCACAGGTTATGAAAGGCTGTGCTTTGTCAGGTCATGCGTGCGTTGGATCAATGGGGAACAGCAAGCTGATCATTCCTTCAAATGAAATCGGAAGCGGGTGATTGTCTTTGGTCAGGGCAGCGCGGAAATGCGTTCACGCCGTGAAAGGAAACTACCACGTTTCGCAGCGAAGCTTGTTTGCCAACGGAGAACGGCCGACAAGTCCATTCTTTGGTTGGCGCTGCCAAGTGACGGAAGGGTGCCACACGCTCTCACTTCCGCCAAGCACGTATCCTTTTGTGTAACCTCCGCGACGGCTTCCTCTCTCGACGCACTGATGATCGTCCCGTCTCCAGGCTGAGAGCGAAGTCCCCGATGACCGGGACGCTGAGAGCTACGCGCGTTCCGTACGAAAGTGACAGCGCCGAGTACGATGAAGCCATGGGCGCGCTGGACGAGCACGCTGGCTGCTATCCGATCAAGGGCGAACTCCAAGTATGTTGGCAGGGTCAATGGGACATCCTTCTTTTGGCGCACCTTTGGAGGACTTACTGCAAGAGTTTTCATGCACTAATACGTACGGTAGACTGGAACCACACGGTGGTTGTGCAGAACGCTAAGCTTGACGCGAAAGGGTCTGAATGTTTCTAGCGCTGGGGAGGGAAATTGCTTCTAACAATCAACTTTTGTGTGTGTTTGTAGTATGTTTGATCGTTGTGCTTCGAGAACCATGAGGGCGTATGTTTAAACCCCAATGTCATCATTGTAGTACATACACAGAGCTTATCTCAATTTGAAGCCGTTGTACGTGTTTTGCCTACCTATCGGGCTGCGTGTTCCCGCCCTCGTTCGGAATGATTGCCCGAATTCAGGCGTGGATGGACACCAAGTCCACGAACAGGGGAAGATACAAGATAAGTTGGACCACGGGGGGCGACGACTCCGGGCTCCTGCACTTTGCGCTCCCTCACCACCAGGTCGGTACCTGAGTCAAGCAATCGAACCGGTTCTATCGTTGTTACTGTGGAGATGAATCATTCAAGGGTCACATCTCCCAACTTCTGTCGAGGACGATTCTCTTTTTTGACCGTCTGACACATATCGGATCTACTGTGTAGCGACAGGACTGCTCCGAGGAAAGGTGGGACCCTTCTAGCCTGACCAACAGGCAGGAACGAGGTGTTGGAGGCAGCAGGCAAAATGGAGTGTGTCTGTGTTAGCCCTGTTGACCAGCTCTGGTGCCATAGCCAATATGCCGTGCGTAATTCTTACGGAGTACGTGCTTTGTGACGCAACGGTTATCCCATGGAAAGCCAGAACCGTTGATTTGACAGCATCTGCTTGATTATTCCAGGAAGCCTACGTTTTAGCGGAAGCCAGAGATCCGTGCACAACTATGTACTACCAGGACGAACGCTTCTTACAGCGCTACGGCAGGCTGGTGTAAGGTTAGCAATTGCTAGCATCAGAACCAATGTTACCGACCTCGATCCACGCCCACCCGAGCAGGGAATGCTCGAAACGAGTAAAGTTGCGAGAACTGGGCTCTACGTCAGCAGTCCTACTAAAGGGAACATGGAGCTTGTAATCGGGAAGATATGGGAGGTCAACGAGAACGATCTTCCTGATTTTGAATGGGTCCCGAGCAAGTCTAGGATCACCAGCAACGTGGAAAGGTGAGCCAGTACGTCGACCTTTTCTGTTCACCAATGCACTCGTCTAAAGCAGCTGCCGGCACGTACACCTCAATCAAACTGCGTCGGTGGCATGTTGACAAGTGCTTCAACGTTGCTCTTGTAGCAGTGAGTACCGTCCACCCTTGACGGTGGAGCGCATCGACTCAAGCCCTCTGTCGATGCACGGTAGGGACAACACTCGCCAATCCTTTGGCCGTTTCCGCCCTGCCCCAAGAGACTTGCGTCGTGCCTCGATCGGGAACACACTTCAGGGTGCATACTGCACTTTATCCTTCCTTCTTCAGGCACCAGCAAAGATCTACCGTGCCACGTTCTGTTGCATCTCTTGCCGTGTTCAAACCAACTCAAATTTCCGAAGTCCGGTGAACATTTCGTGGCGTGGGCGATGCGCGGAAGCACGACCTGACACTCCCACCTTTGTTTTCCTACTGCTGTGCGCACATCTTCTGGGGGTCAACCACACTTTGCGAAGGGAGTGGATCGAGTACTACCTCGAGGAAGAGATATCCGTGCCTTTGGACAATGTGGCCGGGTCGAGCGTGTACTTCGGCGGGAAGAACTTGATGGCCTACGCGCAGTTGTGCCTCGTCGCCGACGAGATAGGAAGGCAAGCGAATGGCGTAGCGATCATTCGAGCTTGGATCGGGTTGTGTTCTGTGTACATATTTTTGCCGGCAGAGGACAAAGCGTTGTCCCAAGTACCTATTTCCAATCCGGGAATCTTAAGTATTTGGGAGGTGCCGGTTGTCGTAAGCGGAGGGCGATCTCGTTGAGAGGTCAACAGCAACGCCGACGACGAGTGCACGAATGCCAGATAGGGTTTTCATTCGTTTTCGCATATTTTATGCAACACAGTTCAGTGTCGTGGTGCGTTCTCGGCCATTATGACATTTGATGCGGTAACCTCGTGCTCAAGGCAAGGGCACCTAGTTTGGAGTTTGTTTGGCGCAAAGAGATTAGGGCTATATGCTTGTTTTGAGCCTGCACGTTCTACTTCCCGCAATACTCACACACGCCGCAATTCCCGTATCATTGACGAGCTGCTCCAGGCTTGCTGCGCTGAGTGGGCATTTGATAAGAGCTTCCTCACCGCCTCTTCAATACCCTTCATGTATGTACTACGTGAATATCTCTTGGGCTATTACTGTATCAGGGATGATCTAGTGGGGCCTTGCGTGGACCAGGTGGAGGCGGGATTCGACATGTACCTGATGCACTCCAACGGCAACCCCCTGGTCTACGATAAGGTGAAGCCATGTGAATTATGCGGATGCCAGCACCTACCTTCCTGTAGGTACACCCGTCCCTCCGGTGATGGACCCTCCAACAAATGCGCGACTACAACGACGCATCTTGTCGATGTGGTGTTTTGCAGATTTGGGGTGGCGTCATCGGAGGGCTTGGGCTGGAAGAGGACAGCAGGGCCGCTGACTTCTACGCGTCGTACTACAACGATCACGTGAGAAGACCAACAACGCGAGCGTAAAGCTTGTTCAAGGGTGCTGTAGTGCAACCGCAGCAATCGTTCCCTAGATGGTAGTACCCACCAACGCAGGTATTGGCTACGGCAACAGGCCGAGCTTCCGCGTGCTTTGCAACCGCCGAACCTGGATGCAGAATCTGGTTTTCGAGTTCGATACACAATTGCTTGTATCGTGCAAAGCACAATTTCCATTTCTTCGTAGTAAATATAGCTTCTACCACCACCAGTATCGTTGGCCTAGACAAACCCACTCAATTTGCCGCTTCACCCAGGTCCGGGTCAAACGAGGACCGGCAATTTCGTCGAGCACCACCGTCTCCTGCCAGTACTCTGCAGCTCAGTAGCCCCCTTCGTTGCGTTTGTCGCGCAAAGACGCAACCTCAACTTTTCAGGTTTTCTCAAGTGCCCCCACCCTCCACCCGCACGCCACCCTCCTGCTCAAAACGCAGCACTTTCACTACTCGTATGTCATCAACGCTGCGGCAGTTTTAGCCCATCTCCGACCGTCGTGGGCCACTAGCGACAACGTTGCATGGGTCAACACACTCATCCGGGATGTGAACGACCCAAACAAGGTGACTGCCATGAGGGGACGAATTGGGTAGAGAAGCGCCGGTTTCGCCGGTATTTTGCAAATGGGATGTTGCGAAGCGGTGACGACATGCCGTTTGGGCAGGGTTTCAGCGCCACCGCTGGTCTTGATGAAACAAACACCTATTTTATGCTCTCGGTGCGTCGCCACAGCAACGAACAGTGGGCATGCTGGTCCTTGGCAGTGTTTCTCGTTGAGGGTGTTGAATGGATGGGGTTGGGGAGGGATTTCGGAGGGGAACAATGGTGAACGGGGCGAATATTTTCCACAGGCGAAGTCTGAGGATTGTAGGCCACACTCTTTCGCCAAAGGGAAGCTCAGCATGCGCCTTCTTTGCCGCCTCGTGCCATTGCTCCTTACATTATGCCTGCTGTGTCAACTCATTAACTGTCTCTTCGATTGCTGCTAGCGCCTGTTCATCGTTCGTTGCTTGTGGCCCCTCTTTTGTGTCGTGTTCTGGCTCTTGTCGCTGTCGTCAGTACGACGCGTTCTTCCCGCAGTTCCGTTCGTTTGACTGGTTCAGCGGCCATAGCTGGGCTAGGGGGCTCTTGTTCGCCTTCGACGGGAAGGACCAGGTGATGTTGTCGTTGATGGAGACGAAAAGTTGTTGTACATAAGGTTCTTTGAGCGTGGCCATTCTCGGCAGAAAATTGCTGCTTGAAGCCTCACCGACCACCACGTGCTGTTTGTAGAACAAGCTGGTTGTTTCATTATCTGCACTTAAATCAGCACCGTGTTTTTGGGTCAAATCTGTTTGTCTCGTGGTTCGATTTGCGGTTTTCGATTTTCGGCTTTTTCTGCTGGGAATTTTCGACCCTGCAGTACACCTGGCCAGACACCTCACATCGACCTATGCGATGTCAACTGTGTTGAACAGCCATGCCTCGGGTGTAGATAGCATGCAGAACATTCCGCCTTGATATTGGGCGATTCGTGTTGAATCGCCGGCTTGTGTATGTGAGAGGTGTGGGCGAGGACGAAACAACCACACACGAATCAGGGACGCCGTGTGCAAAGGCTTGGACGGTGTAAACAATTACAGAGGGTGCCGTTCTCCGCGTATCTGCCTCCATGCAGACGACGAGCGAATAATGTAGTTGCAAAATATATAACAGTACGGCGCCAGTCCGGTGGTCAAATACATCTCTCACGAAATGACGTCGATGAAACATCGACATTTCGACAATCAATACTCTACCAAAAGACGTTGTCGGACATGTCCATTTCCCGGTTCCAATTCCTGGAGACGATCATCTTCTCCCCTTGAACCTTACTCCCCTCGTCAATTCCTGCAGGAATCAACTTCGGAGGACGTTAACTTCTTCTACGCCATGACCATGTGGGCCATCGCAACGGGCAACACAGCGCTGGAGGGGCTGGGCCGGCTGCAGACGGGCGTAGTAAAACGATCGATTAACGAGTACTTCCTCCTGAAGGACAGCAACACCAACCACCCTGCGGACTTCGTCAAGAACAAGGTGACCCAGCGGGCATTTCACAAGTCGTGAGCGTGCACGTGATGTGTGCAACTGACGGGTGGGATTTCAGCGGCGTTCTGTCCTAAAGTAGTGCGATGGCTTTTCGAAAGTGTGGCCTTTTGCCTTCAGTTGATCTCGGGCATTGTTGCACGAAACCTGGGCTATAGCCTCGCTGCGCCAATCGAAAAATTGTTCCTACAAAGCACATGTGGCGTGCCTCGCCCAAGGTTGCTGCATATTGGCGAAATAGGTAAGGTTATCACGAAACACAATTTCACAAGCAGTGTCAGCGTTGCACTCCGAGGCGGCCGTCCATGTAAAAAGATGATCGCAGCTGGCAACAGTGGATCTAGAACGAGAGACATGCTTACAAAAAAGGTGACGCTGGAATCAAGAACAGGTGACGGGGATATTTTTCGAGAGCAAGGTGGACTACACTACCTGGTTCGGGGCGAACGTGGAGTACATTCATGGAATTCAGGTGAATAGCGATATTTCGAGGCAACGGGACGACCACATTTTTTATTCTTGTCTCTGGCTTTCGTCATTTAAACGCTGGCACAAAGCAAAGACGCACAAAGTCGCTCCAGGGCATCCGAGGGGGTAAGATATGCAGCGACTGGACTCTCACCAAGCCGGGCTGGTCTGTAGGGCTGCGTTCTTGTTTTTTTCATTTGTGCCTTCACAGTTCGGGTTCGGATTGTTCTTCGTGTTTATCATGACCAAACTGGTGAAAGGCTCTACCTCACCCTCGCTAGTTTCTTTGCGTGTTCGGCATACGCCGAAAAGCTTCAATCCGGGAACGTGTGGATAGATTGTGGAACATCAAGTGCGCTCGCTCCCTACGCATCCTCTTTGCGACTGACGATCTCGCGTGCTGCCCATATCCCTCTGCTGCTCGTTGTTGCCTTTTCCTAACCCCTCCTTGCGGATGGCTTTCCTTGATGGATCCGTCGGTAGAACATCCCTGTTACGCCGATCACTGAGTACGTTCGCGATCCCCAGTTTGTCAGCGAGGAATGGAACCAGGTACGATCCACGGGGTTGCGCTCTGTACTGATTATTTGCATTCCCCCCGCCGCCGCTTCCATACCTTAATCCTGTGCACTCGCATACTCGAGAGCAAAGGTCAAAGATTCAAGGGTTCACTCGCTACACGGGATTGCCCCTCAATGCGAAAAGAAGTTCAGTTCCATCTCGGCTGTCAACCACTCTTATATTTGGCGTATGCAGGCCAAAGTAAACGATGTTGTTGTTAGCATACCTTTCTTTTCAACACACAGAAAGGGGTATGTGGAATTAAAGTTACTACACAACCGTTTGTGCTTCTGTTTGATAAGGGGGCGTGATTTGTCCTCAAAGACCGTGACACACTAACCTAAAATATCGTTTGCGATGAGAAAACGAGCACGTTCTTGCCGTTGCTGCTGGAATTGCCTACTGTTATAACAGCGGCTGCAATCGGTTGTGGGGGGCGCAGAAGGCTCATGGAACACCGTGCTGTACATGAGCTACGCGACGATAGAGAAGCACTTGGCCTTCAAGGAGATGATGTGAGTTTAGTATTTTGCATCACTTCGAGGTCTCCTTTTGTCTGTAGTCTTCACACGTGTTGCCGCGAGTCAGCACAGCCTCCTTACCCCTACGAAGTCATTTGACTACCAGTGTGGCATCATTCCCATCCACACACCCTGTTTTTCACCAGCTGCCGCCTCTCTCACGGTCTCTGCATGTCTGATTTACCGAACACGGCAGCACGAGCGGCGTGGACGATGGCCTCCAACGGGCCTGGGCTCTTTACTGGGCTGCGACGCGGCCCGACTGTGCCACTTTCTGCGCGCACAGTGACGTACGTTGATTTCGTTTGCTTTTTGCTACTGTGTAAAACTCTGCACTTGGAGTTGATGTCCGCAGTTTTCTTCTGTGCTTCGGAATATCTGTTGGCCTGTGGGGCGATACCGGCGGTGCCCTTTAGCAAATGGTCGCCAACATTTGGCTGCATTGTCGACCATGGTCGATTTCTCCCTGGCACTCACCAGCTCGTGCAGCTAGCTCCAAACTTAACAATCACTTTCGGGCTGCTCGCTCTCTCACCCCAACAACTGCTAGGCGAACCTTGATCGAGCTCCGGAACCAACGCCGACGCTTCTTCCGGCGGTTCCTACCCCAACGCCCACCCCAGTGATGCCAGTCCCAACAGCAACCGCCGGAGCCTTCACGTGCGACGGGGTCGAAAGAAACAATTTTTGCTGCTCTTCGGGGTGCCGGCAATGCGGAGGTTCGAATTGCAGCAAGCAAGAGCAAATCGGGCTCACCGGCGAAGACTGCTGCCAAAACCGGATCACCGCCTCTGGTCGTCTCTGCTCGGTCACACAGGAAGCCCCATGCTACATGGACGGTGAGTGATTTGAAATCCCCTGCCCTGTGCAAGTGTTGTTATTCCAAGTCACGCTGTTGTTCAGTGCTCGTGGTTGTGCGACCACGGGCCAGGCGCGTGGCCGGTGAAGATAAACGCAGGTGTGGCGACCATGCGAGAACCTGTTGCGTCCCAAAAAATCTGTGTCAACTTCATGTATTTATTCTTGTCTGAAGCAAGCATCTACAAGTACGATGAATGTTTGGCCCACTACGAGGGAAACAGTAGCGACATGAGCGCCTATCAACAGTGTATGATCACGCGTTCGTCCACCGCAATACTACCGGCGACGGGTCCGAATACCCGCTCCTCATCTACCTGCGGTCCCAATGTTCTTCGTGATACCACGGAAAGTTGAACCATTTATTCAAGTACAGGATGTTTCGTTTGACCGGAACGACGCATAGATGGGTTGCACCTCTAACATACCATCTCCGCAATTGTTTGTACCGGTTCGGCCCTCCAAACGAAGGCGGAGACTCGCCCGCCCCGGCGCCCCCAACTCCCACACCTACGCCTACCCCGACAGCCCCTTCGTCTTCTGCGTGGGTGGCACCGGCATCTAGCGCGTACGGGGGTATCCCCGCCGTCATCCCCGGGATGGTCCAGGCGGAGAAGTTCGACCACGGTGGAGAGGGGGTGTCCTATTCGGACACCACTCCAGGCAACAGCGGAGGGGTGAGCTGGTGCAACGCTATACGGCTGGCGGGGGTAGAGCGCGGTGCCGTGTGATTTGATTTGGAGTTTTTGTTGGCGGCTTCCGCATGTTCAGGTGCTACGTTTGGGTGTTTGCCGTGAGTCCAGCAACCGGCTCCTATCCCAACGTTGGGGCTCAAGGTTCGGCGTCTCGTGGCCTTAAATTGTGGTGGGTTGGCACGCCTCATTGAAGGAAGACATCTTGTGATCCCATCCTACAGTAGTTGTCTTGTGCGGAACATACACGTTGAGAAGGCAGATCACGTCTTGCTGTGATTTTTGGAAAGACATGTGAGCAAAAGGTACCCCTGGCTTAGAAGGTGTCCGGCCTAGCTGCTAGGCGCGACACTCAGCACTTCGATCATTATTGTTGGCGCGACACTGTTTCAAATCAGCAAACTGTTTCGATGGACCTTGGTCTGCAGTTTTCCGCTCGGCGTGTATCTGGAATGACCGCCCATGAACAACGCGACAGCGCTTCGTTTTTCCATGAACCAACCAATTTCGCCGGACTCTGCAATACTGTGTAACCGTGCACAATAGGTTTTCCGACCGAACGAAGATGTTGACATCTCCGGCGGTCACGATGACTACCACGTTGCGTGGATCAGGGCGACCGAGTTCCTGCGATACACGGTGAACGTCGAGAAAGCCGGTGAGAAGCAAAGCAGCTCCGATCTTTCGTGTGGAAGGACTTTCTTTGCTATCTCGCTCTACCAGGTCTCTTGCGTGTTGCCCGGCAGCGGAACAGCTATCACGGACCCCAGGGAATCGCCGACCGCATCCTTTACCCCGCTGTTGTACCATTTCCCGCCAGCTCTCTTTGCGTAAATTGTACAAGGAGACTTGCTTCTTACATGAGGGATAATTCAACCGGCCAACTGCAGTCGAATCTTCCTAACCACTTCTCTCCTCGTTTACCTGCTGCAAGAATCTATCGGGGGGCACCTACATGTAGCACAACTTGTGCCTGCTGTTATGATACGCTTGTGCTCGTAGTGAGGGTCTCATGGTCACTCCGTGCCCCTCTCGTGCCATGTCCTCCTCCGCCACCCGTTCCTGAACATGCTGTTCATCCCTTTTTCTCCGCCGCGTCCGTCCAGCCTCGGCGTTCGACTTCACCTTTCAGGTGGCGACTATCCCCTCGTATCACGACTCTGGATCCTTCCGCGTAGTCACTGGTGGTACCGGGTGCGATGACTACACGACCGATCTCAGCGGCCTCGTAGTGGTGCCGTCCACCGGAGGATGGGGGACCTTTGCGTCGTTGCCTGTGTGAGTAACTTTTATTTGGTGGCGTGCGTCGATAGTCGGATTTTGTTTTTTTGTGGGTGGGTATAACGGTTGCTGAGAAATAGCGTGCACGGTCGATGCCAGTATGTTTACTATTACAGCTGGCTGCTGACGACGTCGGGTGTATCTGTTGGGAAAAACGTTTGTGTCAAGCAGACACCATGATACAGACCCCGATTTTCTCCTGAATTGTCACATCTCTTGGGCTTGCCGATATGGTTTTCACTCGTTGAAAGCAATAGCATGCTCCCTGCAGCAAGCAGCAGGAGATTCCCCGTACCTTGCGCTTCTCCCTCCTCGGGTTTTGCGATCGCGCCGTGCATCATTGCTGGACCTCGCTATCGTACACTGGCCGTGAAGAACGAAGCCTCTCATGTTCTGCTATCCTCCGTACGTGGAAACACCAAAGCAGAGCATGGCTCCTTTCGCGCGTCGCCGGCCTTTGCCTATGAAATTTAACAGGTCTGGAGGAGGCAACAACGGCTTGGGTGTAGGGCGCGTTACCCTCTGGCTGTGCGTAGTCTCGTCGCATTTTAACTTGGACTCCTTCACCATGGAGGCAGTACTTCCCCCAACACCGAGCCCGTCACACGAAGAAGAGGCATTTGGCGGAATTCCTGCGGTTATTCCGGGTACTATTCAGGCAGAAGATTTTGACGGCGGCGGAGAGGGGGTTGGGTACTCGGATACGGACACACCGAATAACGGAGGGGTAAGGTGTTGTTGTTGTGCCTTTAGTCGATCTTGGTGTCTCAAATCAACGGAGCGAATTATGGCTGAAACGTTTCTTGTTTTAAGTTATATGGCCGGTAAAGGGGCCAAGACCACAAATGTCCGGAGCCCTCATATTGCTCATGTACATCACGCACGATTTGCCAGACGAGGCCGGTCCGTTCATCAAATTATAGCAGCAGTGCCGGTGACGAAGATGTTTATTTTACCACTACAACCGATTATACCTGATCTCCGCTCAGCGCGGGATTTCTGAACCACTCCTTCCTTTCTTCCGCCGGGGAAGACACCCCCGTCGTTCGACAAGGTTGTTTCTTTCGAACGCTTGAGGAGAACACACGTGTGCTACAATCGTTTTCCGGTATTACCCGACAACACTTTCAAAATCTCCCGACCGACTAGCAGGCGTACCGATTGGAAGAAGGTGTTGACATCTCAGCGATGGGGAGCCAACATGCTTACAACATCGGGTGGACAAGACCCGGCGAATTCTTGCGCTACACAGTCACCGTCGAGCAAGCTGGTGAGGTTTCTTAGAGCCTCGTTCTCAGTTTGCTCTTCCCGTGAGTGGTTCCAACCTGTCGAATCGTTCCTGTAGCAGCAATCGCTGGCAACCTCAGTCCTTCCGAAAAACTTGGAAAGGGCGAATGTGCAGTCAATCGACCGAATGTAGGAGGGGGAAAAAAAAAAAATCAACTGCTTGCACTGAACATCATATTTCTCAGGGGCAAAATGACAACCAGGAGCAACCCCGACGGAAACTACCTCTTGGACGCAACTGTATCTCGAAGCCAAGGCAACGAGAAGTAGTTTTACCAACCTCCTCACCTCGCGGCACCGTCCGTTCGTCCCCATACCCTCGCCGGCTACGGTTAGCCTCGGCGTTCGACTTTAGATTTCAGGTGGCGGCCCCACCTGCCTACCACAACTCTGGATCCTTCCACGTGGTAACAGGCGGCACGGGGTGCGACGACTTCACAACCGACCTTAGCGGGCTCGTGACGGTGCCTTCTACCGGAGGATGGGAAAGCTTCGCAAGCTTGTCAATGTGAGATTTTGACGTGTGGAGTGTGAAAAACGCTAGGTTGCGTTGTGCGCTGCGCTTCCGTCAACGGTTTTGTACTTTCTTGTGCCTGTTACTACATAGTTCTACCTACGTGCAAGACAGCAACGCTGTTTAGGAGGCGTGGGTGTTAGGTCTGTGTCCAACGTGGCAATAGATCTTGCCCATTTGTGGCCCTGCAAAGCTTGGATCGTCGGATGGCCGCAGATATCAGACCCCGTGGAAAGAAGCGCAGGTTTGTTTCCGCAGACATTTTGTCGCAGCAGTAGAAAAAATTCTCATAGAAGCAGTTGTTTTGGCGCATACATCTCACTGACAAACCTGTTCCGATCGTTGCCCCTATCAAACCGATTGTCCGCCGTCGCCACCAGCTCAAACAAAGGGACAGGTGGTCTTTCCTACGGACATGCCAAAATTTGGCTGTGCGTGGTCTCCAAGGGCTTCAACATTGACTCGTTCACGATGACGGCGACCGCCTAGTGCACCACTGACATACTACATGAGCAAGCGCTGGTCGGATGTCCATGGGTTCACACCTAATGCGTTGTACTACGCCACACTTGTATACTGCGCTCTGCCACACTTTTAGATTGCATATTGTACTTTGGAGGGCACGGAATCGCAACCTATGCCGGGAGCACTGTTCGCTCCTTCAACGGAAGTCACAAGAAACGGTAACATTTCGCTCTCGGTAGAGTGTTCGTGCTTGGGGCCCTATGGGGATCTGGTTCCTGCATAATTGCCGGAGTAGAAGTAGGATGTCGGGGCTTTGTAATGTATCCCCGCAGAGGTTGTGGGCTCGACAAGAGGGGTTCGTAACAGTGCCTTGTGAAATTTTCCACGGGCACACGATATGGACAGACACCAGGTCAAACGCAGTGACATCGTTGGGTGAAGGCCAACACATGGTTCGACGGCAACCGTAGCGGGCCACATGTGTCAGGAATGCTCCCGCATCCACGAGATTTTTTGGTTTCGGGTGCTGTTGTCTGCTCTCTCTGGCTTTTTGCATGCCCTTTATTTTGGGGTGTCAGTGAGAATACCCAGGTTTCCACATCAAGAGGGAAATGATTACCCATATTACACCCTGTCTCCACCCATAGTGGCGCGAGAACAACCTCTTGCACACGCGTCTCCGATCTCGTGCAAACGGAGACGAAAAGCTACGTTCTTCAAACGTCAACATCCGCTACCAGTAGGCATTCCATATTCCATGGGTGTTATGGTAGCACCAACTTCGAGTCACCCGCCCCATTTAGTCTAGGACGGCCGCCTTCTGACCTCTGGTGTCTCTTCACACGCAGTAACCCCAACGCCGTGACAGTACGAGACGGGTGCGCCGCTGCTACCAACAAGATACCCAAGCCTCATGTAGTCTTCCGCCCGCCTGTTCTCGCCTCTTCGCTGTGGCGCTGCTGCTGCTCTGAGAGCGTGAGCGTGTGCATCAATATTGGTTAGCGCCCAAAAAAAACATCTTGCCAGCGGGTGCTCTTGTACTCGCTCCTTGCCCAGCAATATCTCGGAATAGAGGTTTGGTGTGAGGCTTGAAGTTGACGAAAACCGCGTACCTAGATGACCTTTAGCACGGGCTTGTCAAGTGTGCGGAAAGAGAAAGATTCAAATCTCTGTCTGCAGCTCGTGCGCGACATGAGATAGTGACGTCCGACGTACGTTAGCAACGCACCTGATGCGATCTTACAATCGACCACAAGCGTAACTCAGAGCACAGTGTATCCGCACGTGGTGCGTTGCGACACGGCTTACACTGCTCGTGGCAATCAACCTCCGTGAGAGAGTTGTGCCGGCGGGCTCTTGCACGAGGATGGAGAGTTCCCAGGTAGAAAAAAAGATATTGAAGAAAACGTAGTATATTAGTAGGAGAGACCGGAAGAAAAACGGAGTGAGATGATGGGGGCTGCGCGGGGGCTGCACCATCCAAGCAAAACATACCGACGGAAACACACTTCGAACTAATATCCCAAAGTGTCAACCAATCAGACAACGTGACCGGCAAAGATCCGACTGACGTCGTCTCGAGCGTATACAACACGTACTCAACATAATGTTGACCAATCATATGCTATGCATCTACTACTCGCCAACAATAAGAAATTCTAGCGACGTGCTTACGTGCGTAATACGACTCAGCAAGCTGTGATACTCAGAATGACAGTTGCTGCACATACGTATGTCAAGAACAAAGTCAATGCACCAGGAAAGAGCAATAATATTCGCACGCTAAAAACGTCAAGGGAAGCGCACCTACCACTCAACCGGCGGGTGTTAGTTACCGTTACTGGCTCATTGCAGACAACTTTATCAATAAAATGGTACTACTTTCATGTCACACAGAGTTGTGTTGAGTAGCAACGAGTTCGAATCAGAGCTAGATGTTCCCCAGTTTCCGGACGCGCGAGTCCAACGGCTGTGGAGCCTAAAGGTGTTCATAAAAACGTCCCGCACCCGCACCCCCACTTTCTGCTCACATCGCGCAACCTCCAGAATGTCTTCCGACACTGTGCCGTGACAAAGGCAAGTCCACAGCCTTGCTCTTATCAACGCAACAAGGCTTTTCCCCCTGTATTTCGAAACCCTTCCCCGCAATGGGTCATCCTGTTCTATACCGTCTCCGAAGGACTTCCCTCCATTCGACTCCATGATTTCTACGAGTATATGCCTGACGCCCCCCCACCTCTGACTCCACTCATACCTGTAAGCCACCCCTCCTACAGAGTAATTCTCCACCGAAACTGTTCCAAATATGTTCATGAGGTCGTTGCCTAGTCTTGCGCTCCTCCCGGCAACGTGTGGCGGCATGAAATTCAGCTAACAAAAAAAACTCTCCAATTATTGTCTATCGGCTGATAAGATAACCACGTATGTGCCCCCGCGGAGGCAAGGCCCAAAGCAGGCAGGTCAAGAAGTAGCACACCCATATTGTGCTTATCTGTATAGCTTCGTTGCCTTGTTGAAACGGTTCTAGGACGCACTCGACAATTGAGCGCGTGTAGGCTGAACAGTGTGCACCAATCAAAGGGCCTCTCGTGGACCGATTTATCGGAGGCTTTCGCCTTCTGGATCATCTGCCAATATTTTCCAAGAACACATTGTCGGTAGCACGGGGACGGAAAAGCAAGTAAGCAGGTATCATGTAGACCGATGATCTGCTGGACATATCAAAAGGAAAATGTACGCATACCCGTGGTAGAGGACTTTCACAGGAACGGTAGCCCCGCATGGTGTCAACAATTGAATATCCGCACGGGAGAAGCTGTCTGTATCGTCACATCAAGAGTTGATACCCCTGCGGTAAACACTTGCTTTCGGCCCGTATGAAGGTCGCCAATATGGACGAGGTGCGGACGCTCCACGAAAAAAGTGACGAAGTTACAGGTTATGAGTATATACACATTCTGCAAAGCAATCCGTAGAAGTACATTGACGCGTCTAGTGACTCGTTAGGTGGTGGGGGACAAATCAACCTTCGCGGATTCTGCACGGAGGACACATAGTGTAGACCACGACCTGCAACCGTCACCACATGATGAGTTTACGGGTGATACCACGACGAACACACAACAGGACGCCGTAATTTGCTCGAAAACGACTATGGTGTATCAGGTAACACTGTGCAAAATCCCCTTGCGCGTGTGAGGAATGTTCGTCTCACCAGCTTCACAGGTACCCCACGATCGCCCGGAATACGTCTTCCCCAGGCAGCGTCAGCACCTTGAACACTACATCAGCCCAGCCGTCACCGAAGCTCTCTTCCACCGTCGTCTCATCCCTGCAGCATGTTGTCTCTAACCTTGGGAGCTTGGCACCGTTGTGAGTCGTCCGTGCTGCGTCGACAAGCGTGCTGCTGCTGTCCAGCCTCGGCGGCACCCTTTCGGGATAGGCACGGCATAGGAGAAGGAAGCCCCGACGACGCCATGTTCTGTCGGCCGGCGCGTTGCATAGCAACTTGTACACGCGTTCAGCATCCCCTGGGTACAAGCAAGGCCACAAAAGTTTATTGAGCAATCCCGCCGCGTTTGTCTTCCTCTTGTCTACGATTGTCTCGTCTGCGCCTAACCTCAGCAACAGGTCTACGACCGCCGAGGTTCCTCGTGCTTCACCAGCGACAGATGATACATGGTGCAGCGGTGTTTGGTCGACATCGTCGCGGGCGTTGATATTCGCACCACGCTTCGAGAGAGCAACCACGGCTTGGTCACGAAGCATGTGACAAGCAAGATGCAGAGGTGTACAGCCGATTCGATTAGATGCTTCGATGTTGGTCCCCATGTCGACGAGCGCATCGATCACCTCCGCTCGATTAAACTGTGCCGCAACGTGAAGGGCCGTATCTCGGTCATTGTCAACAGCCGTCACGTCCGCTCCATGCTTGACAAGCGCTCTCAAGATGTCCACATGGCCCTTTTCAGCTGCCAGGCTCAGCACCGTCCTCTTTAATAGACCGCATCGCACGTTGACGTCGGCACCAGCCGCCATGAGAGCTCGTGCAGAAGTGAGGTGACCAAATAACAACGCACCATACAGCGGCGTACACTCCTGCGCATTCAGAAGGTCTTTATTGGCCCCCTTCCGTAACAACGACTGGATAATCTCCGTGTACCCAAATACGGCAGCAACTTGGAGAGGGGTACTGCCGCGCGTATCCTTGATGCTGACACATGCCCCATGCTCTAGAAGGTTTGTCACGACCTCTGCATGGCCGTACCGAACGGCTGCATGAAGCGCACTCCCCATGTCGGCACCCGCTCTCAGCAATTTTTGTGTGAGGGCCACATTGCCCTGGGCGGCCGCACACTCAAGTGGAAATTGCAGCATCTCCGCCCACCCGTGTGTTGTCAGGACTTCCGAGAAGAGATCAAACGTTTCACCCTCTGCTCCCTTTAGCGCTCTCCGTCCTTGCTCGTTTGCTAGAGCGTTTTGTGAGCACGTATGGCGGCTGAAGAAACCTCTCGGGGGCATGCTGCTTCCGAAGTCTTTTGCAGGTGGCACCTCCCGATCCCGGTATTTGCAGTAGCCCCGCTTGCGTGCACCTATATTATGACGCCGAGCACAGCCAGTAGGGGGCAAGAGGAATACAGCGGAGCGACAGCAGTAGTCTTCGTGATGCATGCGACGTTCGACGACGTGACGACGTGCGAACTGCTTTGGACGGGACTGTCGGTTCGTGTTTTTTTTTTTGCAAGCAGATGTGCAAGGAGGCATGTTTACAACTGTAGTCCTGTGAGAGAACAGGCGAGCTAACATACAGCAGTTGGACAGGACACAGCAGCAGAGTCTACACGGATGCACAGCCTGTGTTTCAGCTGGAGCAGCAGAAAGGCACACAATTGCAGTTGCACGTCCACCCAGCGCCAACCAATCAATCGTACCCATCTGAGGCACGGCGAGAGGGAGGTTGCATATTTTCTCCTCATGAAATGTCTGTAGGTTTCGGGGGCTACAATTGTACGGTTAGGGTCTCCGCCTCCAACACAAGAAGTAGAGAAACTTCATTTCTACGCGGAGGCAGTCCCAAGATGCACTGCTGTATGTAGCAGAGCATTTTTTTTCTTGCATGCTGGAAGCATGAACATTCCGCACGTATTCGGAGCGGCGAATGAAATCCGTCGCAGGTGTTGTTTTTTTTTGTTGCGGAAACAGAAACGACTCCGTCACGCCGCGCCAATGATACAAAATGGGTCAATAACCAACCGCGCAGCGTGCCCTGACGCCTTCAATCGAGAAACCGAAAATTGGGGCGCTGTGACAAAGGTGAAGGCTGTCCAATACTCCTACTATTTTTAGTAACGGTCTTAGATGTTTGAGTCTGGACTCGGATACTGTACAGCAGTAGTTGCGCTCTGCACGCGCACAACCAGCCGCGCCATGCACTCAAAACGTAAACAGGAAAGCCATAATAATCTACACTCACCACTCTTCCAAGACATGGGGGCAAGCGTCGCCTCTCATACACAGCCATAGCAGGGTGTTATTTTGTGCACAAACGCAGGTGCCGAAACTTGCCAACCTTTGTCTACACACGCGCATGATTCCTACAACGGAGGTCACTGGCTACCCTCCCGCTTCCTCCATGTCCCCCATCCC